GAGAGCACATTTATACAGACCTACCTAATCACACTTATATTGAAAGACGAAGAGCGGGTCGAATCCGTTCCAAGCCCTTATATTGCAAATATTTTCTTTTGTCATTTAAAACGGTCTCGCTATTTTACAGTGCTTAACTCAAAAAGGATAGACATCTGTGGAACAAAGATAACTGGAAGGAAGGAAGACGTTTTCTGTTCACAGTGTTGCTTGAGCATCACATATGGAGACCGCGAAAAAGATTTCCATTCTAAAAAGTCATAATGCAGCATTGTGGTAGAAACACAAAAAAGGAAACTATAGGAATATAATTGACAAAATACTAGACAATGATTATCCTTTACAGAGAAACGAGATAGGAGTAAGCCGTTAGAAATTAGACTGATGAGGCATTGAAAAAATAAATTTTCGAATGTATGAAGAACTTTACAAGTAAAATAAGCAGTAAATAGCCACCGCGTATATGATGTGGATGGTTAAAGGAAAAAAGTCTTTGCAGTCATTAGTGAAAGTAATGCTATCTCCATTAGGTTAGAAGTTCTACAGAAATTTTTGGAGATAGGACTTGATTGCAAAAAAAATGCATCGAAAAGCTTCATAAGAATAGAAGAAAGACCTTGCTTCGGCAGAAAGCACAGCTAAGGTAAACTATTAGATTGTGCGATCTTGTTAGGTTTCTTTTTGATATCAGAAAGAAAAGTAAAATAATGCTGGGAATTCATCATATCAGCACATTGAGTGCATTAGCACGGATGCAGCGCATCAGAATTGCAGTTTGTGGCTGCAAGTTCACAACGCGCTTCAACAATTTCGTTATTGTTCAGAGTGCTACTTGAGACGCAGCAATGATTCTCTAAGCAGATACATTAACTGAAGTTAAGCAGAAAAAAAGAATGTGCAATAATCTTTTCCATGACCGTGTTTCTGACATAAGATCCAGTTTATCTAACTCGTAAAACCAAACGGACATGATCCTACATAGCCCATAGCTGTTCGGAATTAGCCTAAATACCATTGGTTTCGATAAAGCTTCATCTAAACGGAGAACAATGTTCCGAAAGTGGCCTTTCAAAACTACCGCTGCCGGAGTGCTATGCGCGGAATCTGGGCAAGTCCCAATAACGGTACAACTATATCAGAAAATATGGAAGACAAACATGATATAATAAGAACAGATAGACTTTTTCCAAGATTTTTCTTCAGAAGGAAAATATCTTTTGAGGAAAATGTGGCGTTGTGACAAACTACGTTACATTCTGCAGACTTTATAGTTGATTCTAAGTGGAAAAGTAAAAAAAAAAGTAAACGCCTATAAAAACTATTTTTAGAATTGCAAGAAGACATTTCTGATTGATGACTTGCAAGATTTTTT